TGTCAACCATGTCAGCCAGTCTGACCACCCGATCCCCTTACGACAAGCATGGTTTGCTGAAGACCAGTTCTAACCCGGATCTTCACGGGTCTCGATACAACAAGAAAGCTTTATGGATACAAGCTTCTTGTTTATTGCATTTTAGAGACAGCGTTCGAAATTAACCTCGGTCCGTAGGCCCGAAGTCGACTGAAAACCACTCGGACCCACAGTTTTTGTTTTCTGCAGGTCCTTATGTCCGACAGCTTTTTCATCCCCAATAACTAAGAGTATTATTTTTCAGAAAATATAATTCAGTATTTCTAGTATTTATCTCGATCAGCAGCTGTTGTCTGTAAGTGAAACGACTATCATTTTCGATGAAGTGAGATGTGATCTTTTAACCTCAAACAAGTTATCTGAATGCATTGCAAACTCCATACACTGACAAGGTATCGCTTTCAGTTCATTTACAATGGTAGACGATATATGGTATTGTAAATGAAAACAAGTCAGTCACTAGAGTTAAATTAAACTCACATTTTTGTTTGCTGAGAATTGCTTACATTGAAGCTAAAATATAGGACCTACACATTCTGTTCAGGACCCACAACTTTTTATGGTTCTGGGTCCTTAGGGCCTGCAGCTTTTCAGGGTTAAGTGGGTGGGTTTAGTTTTACGCCGCTGTTAGCAATATTCCAGCAATATCATGTCGGGGGGTCACCAGAAATGGGCTTCACACTGTACCCATGTGGGGAATCGAACCCGGGTTTTCGACGTGACGAGCCAACTCCTTAAGTACTAGGCTACCCCACCGCCCCTTCAGGGTTAAGAGCAAACACTGTTTAGAGACGGTTTTGTGTAGATTCGTACACTATCATTAACTGCAGTGGTGGTAATAGTGTTTGTAAGAATCACCTTCACCCTGACACTGACCAAGAATATACATAACGTCGGAAGCTGCTATAAACAAGAAGTTGTCTGTAACATTCTACGTTTTCTTAGTTACCCTCAAACGCCAAAGAAACAATTTCGATTAAGTGCCTATGCGTAGGTAAGCAGATTTATATAACAATAAACCAAAATAGATGAGGTGTTTCAAACTTTGACATTATAACAAAAAAATTAATCACGTGAATTCAGATCGTTTCATAGTTTGTAACATAGCAACAATCCTTGAATTTGGCCGAACTGGAAACACTGAGTGCTTCAAGCTGTCATGTAGACTCCAGAATAGCTTGGTTCAACCAGCAAAAACCACTCGACTTGGGTTCAGCTACAGAGTGAATGCAAGTCTACTTAACTAAATTACTGCACAGAAAGCAAAGGGCATTACAAGACATGAAGAGCAGCATTGCCGCTACATCTTCAAGCTTTAATCAAGCCTCGGTTTGGCCTAGCCTGCGTGTCCAATGATTGCCGCACATCGGAAGTTAGAAGGGAGCCGAGCTAAACCCCGAACACTTGCGCTAATCTTATTCTGGTTAGATGATAAGTGACCAATTATTCCCCAGACGGGCCTAAGCTTGATGTAAGCCCAGCCAACAGGACGCCAAGTAAAATAGGGTGCTAGTCAAGTCGGAACCCAGTTGAAAAATCTTTCCCTCATCACAACCCGATGGTTCACTATAGCCACAGCCGTCCTGGGAGGTTGAATCCTATGGTTGCCGTTGTTTACTTATCATTTCCTTCATCTGGTATCGACGTAGTTTAACCGTAGTGTAGACTCTCTGTTTGTCTAAGCCAAGGATAGCAAGGATATTGTTTCGCTTGGGTCTATGGTCACGAACCTCTTCCGCTTGGCCTTCCTCCGTCTAACTAAAGTGTCATGGCGGCGCGGAAGGTCTAACCTCACTATTGACGTTCGCTTGCTCAAGTGAGAAAATTACTTTCTGTTTGTTATTCATCAGCATCTCTGCGGTCTTTCAGTGACAGACCTTCTCTTTAATAGTGCTAGTGGTTCAATGGCCGGCCATTGCTCAGATGAGCCTTTCCACTTAAAATAATTTGTAATAATTTTGGTCAGGTTATATGGGGTCCTATGCATCTATATGCCCATCGTAAGGAGGAATGTTTTCTGCCTCGCTTGAGTCAATAAGAGGAAAAGATCCTGTCATGCAAATATTTATTGGCATAACATTGTCTTAACGTCGACCCATCAGTGTATCATGCTTTCAACAGCGGCTTGTTGCCACAATATTGTCAGTGAAGGTTAAACACTCGCTGGATGAATGTGGCACGGGCCATGCCAAGAACTACATAGGAAGCAAACATAATATTATTCCAGGCTTCTGGATCAACACTTGGAAGATCAATGGGTATTTAATTCTGGCTTTCTGCATGGCTAGATTATATATACAGGCAAGATGTTGATAAGAAGCAGATCTCTAACACCCCCGCAAGACTCCCCTCGCGCCAACAGCCCCGTAACCGTCCCGTAATACCCCTGCTACTACCCGTAACATCCCTTAACAGCCCGCAACATCCCCGTAACTCTCATGTAACACCCCCGAACCACACTGCATCACTCCCGTGACACCCCGTAACACCCGTATCATCCCCGAAATATCCAGTATCATCCCCGTAACACCTTCGTAACAACTCTGTAACCCTTCCGTGACACCCCTGTAACGCTCCCGCAACACCTTTGTAACACACCCGTAACTCAAACGTATCACCCCCGTAGCAAAAACGTATCATCCCCGTAACACTCGTAACATCGTCGTACCCTCAAGGGGCGGTGGGGTAGCCTAGTGGTTAAAGCGTTGGCTCGTCACGCCGAAGACCCGGGTTCGAATCCCCACATGGGTATAAAGTGTGAAGCCCATTTCTGGTGTTCCCCCGCCGTGATGTAGCTGGAATATTGCTAAAAGCGGCGTAAAACCAAATTCAGTCAGTCAGTCAGTCGTACCCTCAATCGCATCTCCGCAAAAACACTTAAGTTAAAAATAATATATATATGATTTCTATTTAGAGAAGTCTAATTTGAATTATATACTCAGCGTCATTATTGACTATGCTGGGTCTCTAACGTATGCCAACAGGCGACAGTAAATCTCAATATGTTGACGATATGATTAAGATTTAAAAACAACAACATATGTTTATGATTATGTCACACTGATGGCTTCTATTACACTGAAAAAAACTCGCGCAACTGTTGAATACAAGTTAAAAGTGTAATTTTGAAGTGATGGAAAAGGCAAGCCTACAAGACGCCTGAACTCGTGCACTGCTTCGATCCATGCACGTGCAATCCATGCAAAATATGAGTTAAGATGGGTTCAAAATGGCATATTCCAGGTGAACTAAACTGTTGAAAGTTAAAAAGCCGACGTTAAATATCTGCATGACCTCTCAATTATGACGCAAGTATTCATAAAAGGTATTTTTACTCAAATTATAATGTTTTTAAATATTATTATTATCAAAACGTTACTTAGTACTGAAAAGTCAAAACAAACGCCGAAACAATGCTAAACTGAGGTTCACAACAAATGTTTGTTTCCTCTTAAGCCACCGGCACACATATGTATATGTGTATATTTTCATATCTAAATCGACCTGCGAAGGTCCGGGTTAGAATTTATCTTCACTTACCCCTGCTTGTCGTAAGAGGCGACTAACGGGATCGGGTGGTCAGACTCACTGACTTGGTTGACACATGTCATCGCATGCCAACTGCGTTCTCGATGGTCATGCTGTTGATCACCGGATTTTCTGGTCCAGACTCAATTATTTACAGACCGCCTTCATATAGCTGGGATATTGCTGAGTGCGACGTAAAACTAAACTCATTCACTCACTCATATCCAAATCGAATTAGAGGCGCATCTGTATGCCTGTAGCCCTGTTTTCAAGTGGCTACCACTGCACGACAATTATCGATATATAACTTCAGACAAATGTGTGAACAGAATTATCAACAAACATGGCAGTTGTCAAACATGCACAGAAGTCCGTCTCCCCATATTTGCAAAATTAGAAAGTCATTAATCGGTTATTCAGAGGGAAGCATTATCTACACATTGGAGGTATATCAAATAACATTTGATATTCTATACATGGCAATGGAATTAGTTTTGGTGACAATGCTATTGTATGAATATGAATATTTATAACCCCCCTACAAAGAAACAAATTACAGTAATGTGGGATGGAGCGGCGGTGTTCCTGTCTGGTGCATACTTCGGGATGAAACAGTGAGAGGGCCGCCACGTATATTTCCTTTATGCAATGCTGTTATGCCAACAACAGATGACTTTATTATTGTGCAATCTTGGGAATTGACAAGCGTCTATATGAAGTTGTACAAACGGAATTCAAAATGTCAACAACAGAGAATTGTCCGACGAAATATATTCCCCAAGAAATTAAAGGAAACATGTGATGAAACTTATATGAATGAACTATAGTAATATGAGGTATAGCTTTGTCCTTAACCTCTTTTGAATAAGATGAACGGAAGAAGACCTTTTCAGCTTTTGTCGGGAACAGACAGTTTTACTTGACCGAAGTGGAAAACATTTAAGATCTGTACCACGTCGGGCTTTTATCCCACATCAATTGTGCATGTCATGATATTGAAACACTCCACTGTACGATTCCGCTCACTCACTCACTCACTCACTCATCCACCCGACCACCCACCCACTCATCCACTCCCTCACCCACCCACATACTCACCCGACCACCCACTCGCTCACTCACTCACTCACACGACCACCCACTCACCCGCCCAACTCACTCACTCACTCACTCACTCACTCCACTAACCCACCCACCCTCACCTCACTCACCCGACCACTCACTCACTCACTCACTCACCACCCACCCAACCACCCATTTACTCACTCACCTGACGACCCACTCACTCACTCACCCGACCACCCAGTCACTCACTCACCTGACCACCCACCCACTCACTCACTCACCCGACCACCCACTCACTCACTCACCCGACCACTCACTCACTCACTCACCCGACCACCCACTCACTCACTCACTGTTTTCTGCTGCAGGTACTGGAAGCACTTCTACGTGGACCCGTCCGAGGGGTTCTACTACCGCTGGCTGTTCTTCATCTCCGTGGCGGTCACATACAACCTCGTGTTCATCATTGCCAGGGCGGTGTTCTGGGAGCTCCAGGAACAGTTCCTCTCTCTGTGGCTCACGCTGGACTATCTCAGTGACTTCTTCTATCTCCTGGACATGTGGGTGCAGTTCAGAACAGGTGAGAATGGACGTGGTGAAACGCTAGCGGTGCCACATAGGGAATCTCAACACGGACTGCAGCATCATGCTCAAATCGTTATCAACACATTTCCTGATTGTTGGTTGGTTGGTTGGGTTGTTGGTTGGGTGGTTGGTTGGTGTTGGTTGGTTGGTTGGTTGGGTGGGTGGTTGTTTAACGCCGCACTCAATCCAGTGATCAACAGCACAAGCATCGATCGACGCAACTGGGATACGATGACATGTGTCAAGTCAGCGAACCTGACCACCCGATCCCATTAATCGCCTCTTACGACAAGCATTTGTATTTCCTGATAGACCCGACCAGATTCAAGTTAGAATTGGTCTTTAGCAAACCATTCCTTTTCTTGAGAGGACTAACGGGATCGGGTAGGGAAGTTCGCTGACTTTCTTGATGTCATGTCATCGATTCTCAGTGGCATATATCGATGCTCATGATGTCAATCACTGGATTGTCCCGTCAAGACTTGTCATTACTTACAGACCCCCGGATAAGCATGTGGTTGAAAGAGTCAGTTTTAATGAGCAGTATTTCAGCCATTAACCACTTAGATTAAAGGGGGCCGGATTAATGAGGTTATGATTCTGTAAAGTATCCATAGATCAATTATTGCAACTGAACGTGTTAGTAATCAGCAGGGGGCGGTAGGGTAGCCTAGTGGTTAAAGCGTTCGCTGGCCACGCCGAAGAAACGGGTTCGATTCCCCTCATGGGTACTATGTGTGAAGCCCATTCCCGGTGCCCACCGCTGTGATACTGCTGGATTATTGCTGAAAGCGGCGTAAGACTAAACTCACTCACTCACTATTGATCAGGAGTTTCTACACGGAATTGTATTCAATAGAGCTGCTCCATCACCTGATTGTCTGGCGTCCTGCTGTGAGGTGTAAGGCAACAAACACCTCATTTTTATGTACAGTTTGTACGAGTGGTGGTGCTACTCCTGATTTACCAAAATTAAAATCCTTAGTGTCGGAGCGATGTCGTCCCCGTTGATGTCACCGACGTAGTATATGTAAACGGCATGATTAACTCCAGGGTTTAGCCCTTATTACATCAGCACGTTATTATATTGCTGAAATACTGTTCAGAATTGAATTCAGTTCATTCTTTTACTTTCAGAGTATTTTATCCCGCACAAACGTATTGGGAGTTAATGACCTTGTTATAAGTGATTTGATAAGTATCGAAGGAGAACTTAATGTAGTTGGGAAGCAGATTGGGAAGCAGACGTTTAGCCTTCTGTTGACCCCAATCAGTGGAAGCCTGGTGCTGACAAACCAAGGTTCAAACTGGGAACGAATCTGAGATTCACGGTAACCAAGGGACGCAACTCTGTCGGTTAAAGTCCAGGACCTTGATTTTTGAAGCTCTCCTAGTGCTAGTGGTCGTAAGTGTCATGCATTAACATTAACTTACCACTATCTTAGCTCTAAGATAGCTTCGAAAATCTTGGCCAAGAGCATTTGGACATTGGGACACCAGTGCCCCGATCTTTTATTTGAAACATATAGTTATTTCTATTGTGTCATTCCAGGTTACTTGGAACAAGGCCTAATGGTAACCGACCCTGTCAAACTCAGGAAAAACTACATGAAAACGCGGACATTCATCCTGGACGTTGTGAGTGTCATGCCCACGGACCTGTTTTATTTCCTCACAGGACTGAACACACCGGAGATCAGATTTAATCGCCTCCTCAGATCGAAACGGCTCCTGGAGTTCTTTGACCGAACTGAGACAAGAACGAGCTTTACCAATATGTTCAGAATATTCCATCTTGTGTTGTATATATTGATAATTATCCATTGGAATGCATGTATATATTTTGCAATAAGTGGACTTATTGGTTACGGTTCGGACGGCTGGGTCTACGGAAACGTAACTGAGCCAAAGTTCAAGCCCCTCAGTCGGAAGTATATATACAGTTTCTACTGGTCAACCTTGACCTTGACAACAATAGGAGAAACCCCTCAACCAGAGAGAGATGGAGAGTATCTGTTTGTGGTGGTGGACTTCTTGATCGGTGTGTTAATCTTTGCCACCATTGTGGGAAATGTTGGCAGTATGATCACAAACATGAACGCAGCTCGTTCAGAGTTCCAGCAAAAAATGGACGGTGTGAAACAGTACATGGAGTTCCGAAAAGTCAGCAAGGAACTCGAGGAGAGAGTCATTAAGTGGTTTGATTATCTGTGGACAAACAAGCAATCATTAAATGAGGAGGAGGTATTAGCAGCATTGCCAGACAAACTGAAAGCCGAGATGGCGATTCATGTGCATTTGGAAACACTAAAGCGTGTCAGCATTTTTCAGGACTGTGAGCCTGGACTCCTGGTGGAGCTTGTGTTGAAGCTCAAACTTCAGGTGTTTAGCCCCGGGGATTACATCTGTCGAAAGGGGGACATTGGCAGGGAGATGTACATTGTCAAAAGGGGTAAGCTAAGTGTTGTGGGGGACGATGGCCACACGGTATTTGCAACGTTAAGCGAAGGAAGTGTCTTTGGTGAGGTCAGTATATTGAACATTGCTGGCAACAAAACAGGCAACAGGAGGACAGCCAATGTACGTAGTCTAGGATACAGTGACCTCTTCTGTCTCTCCAAGGACGACTTGTGGGATGCCCTAGGAGAGTACCCAGAAGCTAAGAGGAAGTTAATAGAATGTGGACGACAGATCCTAAAGAAGGACAACCTTCTGGATGAGGATGCTATGAGGAAGGAAGAAGAGAAACAGGAAACAGCGGAACAGAAGATGGATAGGATAGACACCGGGCTGGATACTCTCCAGACGCGGTTTGCCCGTTTGCTAGCAGACTTCAACAGCACTCAGCAAAGACTTAAACAACGACTTACTAAAGTGGAGAAAGTTCTGGCTCGAGATGGAGATGCTATCTCGAATATTTCAGCGCTGGAGTTGGATCAGAAGTTATGAGATACATCTGTTTATCTTTGATATATTCTATTCTGTGATTTATACACATGTCTTCGTGTAATAACCTTGTTATCAGAGTATAGAACTGTTGACAGTGTTTCTGATTGCAGTTTGGAGAATATTTTGAACTGTATCAAATATTTATGACCAAATTTGAATGTTACGAGAAAACACAAGCCTAGTGCCAGGATATATTTTCTCAGAAACGGTTACTGGATGACTACAAGCTATGGATGAGCTCCTGTTGTTCAGTGGATGTAACTATATCTCCAGAACTCTCCGGAGGGTTCCATCTTAAAATACTCATTTTGAGAGCTGTAAATATGTTCCAAATAGAATAATTGTGTGGGTTGGTCAAGATTAAATCGGATGTTTGTGTTAAGAACAATGTTTTGACTGATGTAGTTTGTGTGCCAGGGTGAATGAGAATCTCTGGGACATCTAGACAAATTGTGAGTCATTGAACGTTTACTTGTTTATTTAAGATTGTTTATTATAGAACATCAGCTCGGGACAGAACTGAGATGTTGACATTAGAATCAGCTTTAGAATAACTGATTATTATTTTATATTACAAACTTAGTTCTGTGATAAATGCTGTTAGATATTGTTGAATTTTTCATTTGGTTTGATAGTTTGGTTTCCTTGACGTTTGAGTGCTGGTTCATTTCAAACATTGCGCTGGACGCTATTGTAGGAGCAGGATACGGGGATCTAGATAGTAACTCTCAGCTTCAGTACAAATATGAAATCCATGCAGTACATGACTACATCAACACAAAACGCTAGGATAAGCCGAATCATATGTAATCATTTGTTGACGGAGCAGCTAATCCAAGCTGAAAGATCAAAGGAAAGTGTTTTTTGTCAAATTCACTCCACTCATCTGTTTCTAGGAATTTCAACTTTCATTATTTCAGATTGCATTGAAGCGATTTAGCATGTTTTCAGATGACGTTAATTTCAATGTCACCTTGTCACCTTGTTACCTTCTTCACACAGTCGTGTCAATGATTTTTGTTACTCTGACGAAGTGAAACATTTCATTGCTGTTTGAAGGCTTTTTCAGTAAATATTAGATACCTAGTAGAAACTGCCCTTAGATTGGCATCCTGAAGGCTATTGTGCATTGTGCATTGTGCATTGTCATCTGTGAATGAGTGTGTGGTTGTGGCGGCGGGGTAGCTTAGTGGTTAAAGCGTTCGCTCGTCACGCCGAAGGCTCGGGTTCTATTCCCAACATGGGTACAATGTGTGAAGCCCATTTCATATGTCCCCCGGCGTGATATTGCTGGAATATTGCTACAAGGGGCGTAAAACCATTCTCACATTCTCACCATTCTGTTAAACCCAGCGTCACTCACTCACTCACTGACATTGACACTGACTCCGAATTAACTCATTCGTAGACATTTACCATTTCCGCGATTTTTCAATTGTGACAGGACCATTATCATAATCGGCGATTGTCATACTCTAGAGTGCCAGCAGCAATGCCATGTTAACACAAACAACCAAAACCATTATGTTTTATGTCAACCAATTCCATCACTATATACCGTGTCTGTCCTTATGTTGATTTTTCGTTTGATTATTATTAATTCTTTCATATTCCTGTCTGCTATTTCCAGAACCGGCTGTAGCATCAGTAGGCATTAAACTAATTAGTGTAATCTTGTAGAAAGCACAGCGTCACTTGCGTCTCCGTGAAATTTGTCGACACAAACTTTTGTCACGTTTGTGAAAGCATTAATCAAATAAACCCCATATTCAAATACCCTAACATATACAGAGCGTTGTGTCTCTTCTACGCTACCATAGGTGACCATGACGTCAATTTCATCCCCTTCCTCATAACACCATCCATACTATGTTCACCTTGACCACAAACTGACCACATGTGTGACCCATATGACGACGTGGCCCAATGCATATGCATACAAGCCCCAATCGAGCTTATTCTTGAAACTGACCACCTAAGCTGTGTATACATATTTATTTGTGTTTTACCTATATATGTTACCATTTCATTTCCATTTCATGTGTATTTCTTACTTTATAACCATATTCACGTCTAGATAGAGATCCTTTAGAAAATCACCTGTTCCTATTTTTATAAAGTCTTCTTGTTTTAACTTTGTAGTTTAAGGAAGGTGCATGTATTTATTCTTGATAGTTTTAGATGAACAAAATGTGATATAATCTTCATGTGTACATGTACATTTCTTGTATATAGGTGTTATGTTATGTTCATTGCAATATACAGCGTTATGTACCAGCGGTTGACAATGGGAGATCAGAGTGTACGTGTGTATGTGTGTGTGAGTGGGAGAGAAAGAAAAGACGAGGAGAGTTAGACAAGAGGATAAATGAACCCGCTGTTATATATTATGGTTGATTCTTTCTGTCATATCTATGCTTGGCCTTCAAGAGCAAGCATTTAGCTAATATCTGTGATGTTTGTAGAATAATAATATACTTAAACATACACTTTGTTACACGATTTCATTTTGCCCCCGCTCAAACAGACCTAGAGAATAAGCATAAATTGGTTCACCGCGTACATGGGCATTCTCTTAACCTTAGGCAAATATGGTTGTTGGTTGGAATCCCAGTTCGCCAGGATTGTTCTTTTACGTTTGACAAGACCATATCAGTACACTGTGTACACTTCTTAGACCTTCATTACTCCGGGCTTTCCTCCAACATTAAGCAGACCCGCCATACATAAATAGAATACCTTAAGACGGCGTTAAAACCCAGCCTACTCGCTCACTATTCTGATAAGTTTTGCCATCTATGTTTCCAGATTTATAACGCGGAGACATGCTGTTTCAGACTAAGGAATATTGTTTTTGATATCTAATTTCATAAATTAGGCAAAGCTTTCCAGATGCATGACAAAATCTCGCTTCTAATTTTCGGTGTCGAAGGCACTCTAGGGATCCTATCCTGCCGATAGAATTCACTCAAAAGTTTGCATCATTGCAAGAAACATGGGCAATCGAAAATACCCGTAATTACTCGAAATATTGTTGAAATTGTTGACAACTGGAGTCTCGGGATACTTTAAATGGATTAATTAATGAATTAATGTTTGATTTTGAGGCAATAAAGGGATTAATATCACCAAAGACATGAAGCAGATCTTCAGATTCCCAAAAATTCCATGGTGGGTCTATATCAGCAAAGGAACAAGTATGTGGTTGCCCGTATCGTCAAGTACTGTCGAATATATTGAAAGATAAAATAGAAAACCTTTTCTATTTCTTGACAAGACTTAAGCTAATGGAAGATATGAACAACATATTGAATTTGTAGCAATGTTGTGGGGCCAAACATATTTACTATCTGAAGTGAAATTATTAATAGTTTAGCTTCCCAAATCATGAAATGAGTGTTTTGTATATGGCCATCATCGACTTAGGTCAAAGACTTAATAGACACTGCATATTCTAAACATAATCATTGAGAGACCAACCGTTTTATTGTCAGGAGATACCCCATGCGTTTTGTTGAAAGGAATGAATCTATTTTAGATGCAGTTTGTTTACACCCAACCAACACCTGCATTATTTTTTTTTATTTTAATATTAATTTTTCATTTATTTGCATTTAGAATTCTATTTTTGTACCTTCTTCATTCTTCACCGAAGAAAACCGAGGGTTATTTTATTTATAAACACCTTGATAGCTCGTGTTTGGTAACTCCAAACGGCAAATGATCAGGTCATTTGTTGTATAAGCCAACACTCCATTTTGATAAGGTCCCACGTCGTTTCACGATTCGTGCCATTAAGTAAAACCTTAGAACATCTGAATAATGTATAATTTGGTGATGCAGAAACTTTAAAATTGAAATTTATTTCAATTAGTTAATAATTTCATGCTTTAAAGTTATTTTTTGTCAAAAGTTTATAATTGTATGTTGCAAAGTACAACTGTATTAAAATAGTGTGATAATTTTTCATGTTAAAATTTAGTTCATAAGAGGTTCATAAAGTCAAGCAAGGCTATAACTGTTATTAGTTTTCCTTTAGGTATGATCATGATTGTCAGGACTAGATTACCTCCCCTTACTGTGTATACATTTATATTTACAGTCAACAAGTGAGGGAAAACAAAATAAAATACATACATCTAAATTTAGATCTCCGCCAGGAGTAGATATAAGCGCTGTTGGATCTTGGTCACGGGTGCGTTGTTGTGTTGTGTTAATGAAACGGGGTGGTATCAATATTCTCACAGGTTCGTTTCTATACTTGTTTGACCAGTGCGTGATTCTCTGATGCTTGTCAATGAAGTCATGTGTGTTTGTTATGTCAGTTGAACTTGTTTTTTTTCACGTACTTGTTACCCTCTGAGATCGCAGAGACTGTAGACTATAGCAAACTATGTATTTAGGGCCCGTCCATATACATCTATATCAGCGTGAGTGACAGGATGATTGACGTGTGACATTGATTACGAGTCGATATTGCCTGTATCATCCAGGATGTTCAACATACAAATCCTCGTTACGGGGCGTTATGATTTTCACAGCAGCCCCAAACCAGGATATATATCGTTTATGTATTTATATGACGAGCCACATATTGTCTATTGCACCAGCTGTCACCCGGGTAGATTTGAGCGATCGTTAACAGTGAATTCTCCTATTGTTTCGCTAGCTCTCTTTCCGTGTACTTTAACGGTTGAAATGGTATCCAAATATTATAACGTGTTCACTACAAGGACTTCCTGAACACGTACGTGTCACTTGAAACTACAAATTCATTCAATAGTTATTTCTGTTACATTCTAACCATTACAAAATATAGACAATGTATTATTTCTGGATCCGAAAGAAGATATTGCGTGCATTCATTGTGTTCTTATTACGCAGACCATAACATTACATGTATGCCAAGAAAGGGCTTTTGTTCAAACATAAGAAAATATATTTAACTTTTAACCAGCCCCGAACATGTATAGTATTATATTTCCTAGCGTCAAGGATATGGTCTTAACAATTAACCAAACATTAACGGGATCAAATGACACTAACATCATACGTACACAAGGATTTTATTTTCGAAAAACATTCGAAATAATTTTCCGTTTATCCTCAAACAAGTCCGAAAACATTAAATCTTGCCCCGAACGAGGATATGTATCGTTGATTTTTTTCTGCTCGGCGTTCTAATGAGTCTTTCATTTTTCATTATTGTTTTAATAAAACTTTAACTTCTCTTAAGAAGAATGTCTCGCTGTAAACGAGATATGCCTATTGGTTCAATTACAGAAATATATCCATGCTTTTGAGAAAAACCTGAATACGATGAAAGTTTCAGAACGTGTGTGCATCAACATTTGCGGGTAATTCATGTGTATTGAGCGCTGTGTAAGTGAAGAGTTTTATTCTTGTTAGTTTTTTTCTTATTCAGATATTCGTTGTTTGACTATTTTAAGCTTCGATTGTACAGAACACGAGAAACTGAAGCCATAGTATCCCAAGTTGGAGTCTTCATCCTCTGCCCTGTCATGATACCATGGCGGACACGGAGTCGATCATGAACGTATTCATGATGCAGTTCATGAAGTCAGTCACTTTTGCCAAATTCCAGGACATAGGATTAGAAGTCATTGAATTCCATAGTTATTGCTCATGACGATCTCCAATACTCATAGTTGTCTATACAGAACTCCAGATCATCTTCTTTTATCGTTTTATTTCAAGCGCCATTGTTAAACATTTTAAAGGTATTTTCAGATTCATGCATCACGCGATACAGCGCGTATTATGTATCATTTTAATCAGAAATAAACTTTTCATTCACTTCCTGTGTCAAATTTGTCTTGAGGTCGAGAACCATGCGGGGGATAGGACCCCGTACACCGTGCTCACCGACGTCAACGTTTGTTTGTTTCTTTGTTGTTAACGCCGCACTCAGCAATATTCAAGTTATATGAAGGCTGTCTGTAAATATTTGAGTCTGGATCAGACAGTGAGTAAGTTTTGTTTTACGCCGCTTGTAGCAATATTCCAGCAATATCACGGCGGGGGACACCACAAAATGGGCACCACACATTGTACCCATGTTGGGAATCGAACCTGGGCCTTCAGCGTGACGAGCGAACGCTTTTACCACTAGGCTACCCCACAGCCCCTGGATCAGACAGCACAGTGATTGATATCATGAGCACCAAACTAAATGAGCAGTGTTAGCTTGCTCTGTGACTGAGCTGTGTGTTGTTACCATTAGC